GCGATTGATCGAGATCAGTCGACGGAGTGGGAAGTAAATGACGGACGTGGTTACGATTCGACTAGCGTACGCGCTTAAAATTTGACGATGGAAAAGACAGGCGTTTCGTCGGAAACGCTGAGAACGTTGGCAGAACGTTTGATTTCAATTCAGAAATTGCATTGTTTCTCGATCATATCTTAATCGCGAAAAATCGTTAGAAAATACAATTTGTGTCGTATTTTAAATTGTATGAAATAACGGAAATCATCCTTATGTATACACATACGCATATTACATACATTAGTCTCGACAAATACGAAAACATTGTTTTTCATCTAATCGTTTCATCTCTGTTCATTACACTAGGTGTCCCATACGTACATTTTGCCGTTGTTTTTTTTTATAGATAACAATAAAACTTGGTGAGCAAAAAATCCATAAATGCTTCATTAAAAATAAATACATCAATACTCTTTCTCTCAGTTTAATACGAGATGAAGATCAATTTATCGAATGGTTACTTTCTAATTAATTTCAACGTCCTTGAAGTATGTTGTCAAAATTATTAATATTATATATAATGGATGCTCGGCCTTAGTTTTCACGTCACACGAAAGCATATATGGTATATATCGAGCGAACCTGTCGATGTGTTACCTCTTTATTAATTGTAATTATCTTTTTTTAATATCTTTATAATTCTGCATGAAAGAAATAATAAAAAATTCCAATAACTGGTATTTCTTCTGTAAATGATAGATTAGAATTGATTAGAAATGTTACATAACAATATCGACAATGGTGCAACTACATTGATGCAGGTATAATTTGTTCATATACACACGTAATGATTATCATATCTAACATTAGTTAAATTTTATATAAAAAAAAAAACATAGAAAAAAAGTACATGTGTGCCAAAAATACTTTTGTGTATAACTTGTAAAAACCAAGACTAAGAACCCATTATATGTATAGCAAAAATTTCAGAATGAGTTTTGGCAACATATTTCATGGTCGTCGAAATCGGCGAGGAGATAACTATTCAGTAGATTGACTTAAAGTGGGACACGATAATGTTCGTGATACGTATAACATACGATACGATAACGATGATTTTCTACTGGCGGTAGAAAGATATTTATTTATTATGAGAATTGAAAGCAAAGTTGTGTAACAAAAGTAGACGCAACTATATGAAAGAATTAAAATTTCATGCGAGCAAATAAAACAAAATCGTAATAAAAATTGGTCGACGATTAAATTTAATGACACATAGATAGCGTGCATTTATGAATATTTTGCTACGTAAAATTTTAATTCTATTTTTATCTATAAAACACACTGGTAAAAAAATTACGTACGAAAAACATTGGACTGTGCAGTTGTCTTCAACACGTCTCATATGTTCTATAGGAAACACGGTTGGAGCCACATTCCGACAGCAAGCTCTTTATTTTCTCTGTAACTTAGACTTTTAAACCAAACGTCAGTTGTTCATTGTGCAAACGCGTGATTGACTTTACACACTGCTTTAGAGTTAAGGAAAGCTGAAATTGTATAAATCATCGGCTCGAACTGCGTTGCTTCTCGTCGAGCACTGATCGCACGAACGACACGGCCATCGCGAACTCAACACCTAATCCCCGCTATTCGTAAATGCATGTATTTTCGTAATACCAAAAATAAAGAAACAGAAGAGTATCGCAAACTATCAGAGGAACCATCTCTTTTTTAGGTAACTGACAACGAGGGGTTTTCTCTTCGTAATGACCTTCTTCACTCTCTAAGTATCTCCCATTTATCTCCCTTATCTTTTTCTCTCTCTTTTCTGTTTTATCCTTCTCCTAGAATAAAAGTTGAAATTGATCGTCCAACGAGACAGAAGGATAACGTCAAAGGATGACGATACGTATATATATATATCTGCCACGATACGTAATAACGAATAATCCCTTTTACATGTTTCAGCTGTCGTTTATCCATGTGCTTCCTGTGGCAAGACGTTCAAGTGGAAGAAAAGCTTGGTGCGTCACGAGCGTGAAGAGTGCGGAAGGAAGCAGTATCAGTGTCCTCAATGTCTTCGCCTGATGAATCGAAAGGACAGTCTTATTCGTCACTTACGACTGAAACATGGACAAGATTGCCGCGTGAAAACGCGAGTCATGCACCGATCAAGCTCCCTCAGGGCTAAAAGTTGTTTCGACGCCGCGCTGAATCGCGAGACTACTCGATCACCGAGAAAATTCACAAAGAACTTGTCCGCGCGATGCTAATTTATTCTTAAAATATTCTTTAACGATCGGCGATAATGTTCGGTAATGGACGCGGACGTAATAATACTTTTGAATCGATCTCGTTTCTCGGGTTCACATCGATCGAAACCGATGCTTCTTAAATATTTTCCTACAAATAAGAAATGCAGTGGAACGTGTTATGTATACCTTGTTCCTCTGTCATTATTTATTATTCAATGAAATTATTATTCGATGGAAAATTGTGTGCTCGTTAATAAATGAAACGTAATGCTACATAACGTTGTTATTTCGATACGTTACATTACATGCATATGTATTATGTTAAGCGTCGATTATAAATATGTATATGGTGTGTAGGAAAATGTGTTGGTTCACGATTGTGAAGATACGGGGATACTTGGAATGTATGAAAACCGATGAAATTAACGAAAGAATTCGAATGAGATCTAAAGAAGAGAAAGCGCACGAAAACGAAACGACACAAGGCGAGAAAGGGAGCTAGAAAAGAAGGGGAAAAAGAAAGGAAATAGTATGCTTTAATGATGCTTTTGTTGGGAGGCAGCTTATTCGTGAAATCGCCATTGAACTGAACGTGTGCTGTACTCAAAGATTTCTTTCTTCCTTCCTTTCAGGTTTCCACGTATGCTGTGAGTGCAAGAAAACGTACAGGTCGAGAATGGCTTTAAATCGGCACGTTCGAGAGGAATGCGGCAGAATTTTGTACACGTGTCCGTTTTGCCACAGCATCATGCCTATGAAGTTCAACCTGCTCAACCATCTGAAGAAAGAACACGGTTGCGTGACCAAGATTTGAAGCGACCTAACTTTCGAACGGATCGCATCGGTTTTCGCGAATGATCTTTCTTTCTTTCCGTACTGTGACAAAGCTGCAACCGGTTGACGCAATGTTCAAAAAAAAAAGAGATACGCAGAATGCATTTTATATCGGTTGTACCTAACGTATAGTATATCGAGTCAACAAACCGAGCGACAAGAAAGAAGCGTGACGTCAGATCAACTGACTTATTTCATGTTCCAATTGAAACGGTTTTTGATATTTATATCAACGATACAGACAAATCAAGATAAATGACAATTAATAATAAAGCGTTATCGAAAGCGTATTTCTTCCTTGTTTCTCATTTAATCTCGTCTGGTGTGGTGAAGTGCGATCTATTAAATTAATGCAAAACTATTAAACAAGAATGCATGAAATCTGAATCGAATTAAATGCAACTTTATACACCACGCTATCTTTTTCGTCGCGCGTTAGTTATTGTTATTGTGTTGTGTTGTCTCATGATTGTTACACAGTTGATTCAAACATGGAAATTACGTATAGCTGTCGCTAACTGTCACGGTGATAAGTACTGCAAGTGTTTGCAAAAGAAAGAGATCAATGAATTTCATATTTGGACTTGGACTAATCGAAGTTTTTGATTTTTTGTTCTTTTTTTTTTTTGCAGATTGTCTAATTGGAAATCAGTCACTCGCGTTATACACGTATACTACGTATTATTACAGCTAATCGATGAGACACGAATGAGGGAGGAATGCAGCTATAGCCACTGAAATATCAATGTCTTTATTATTCAAAGAGGACCAAGCCACGATCCACGTAATTTATTGAAACATAACACAGGTTAAAACAAAAGGAGTTGTGAACGGTGTCCAACGAAATTCTAATCGAACGCTCAAGGAACTACTCAGTTTTTTAGCTGTTAGGTGTAAAAGCGTACGAAATTCCTCCTGTAAAATTGGACACCATTGCTATTTCAAGGAGGCATTGCCAATCCGATTCGATATTCCTATATCGATACGCATGTGCATGCGCATCGATAAAGCTTTATTATCGGATTGTACATTCGCACGTGTACGTATGTGTATCATTCTTGTCCGGTAAACATTTTTTTTTTTTTTTTTTTT